TACTACTACTATTACTTCGACTACGCCTTTTACTACTGCTTCGGTTATTTTTTTACGACTAAGACTACAACTACGGCTACGCTTACGACTTCGAATGCGACTATGACTGCGACTACGACTACGGCGACGTCTATTATTATTACCACTACTACTACCGCTATTACTTCTACTACTACTGCTACTACTACTAGTACTACTACTACTACTACTACTTCTACTACTACCACTACTACTACTACTACTACTACTACTACTATTACTACTACTACTACTACTACTACTACTACTACTACTACTACTACTACTACTACTACTGCTACTACTACTAAACTACTACGACGACGACGGCGACTACTGCTACTACTACTACTACTACTACTACTACCACTACTACTACTACTACTACTACTACTACTACTACTACTACTACTACTACTACTACTACTACTACTACGACTACTACTACTACTACTACTACGACTACTACTACTACGACTGCTACTACGACTGCTGCTTCTACTACTACTACTACTACTACTACTACTACTACTACTACTACTGCTACTAGTTCTATTATTACCAGTGCTACGACGGCTATCGTAGTAGTCGTGGTCGTCGTCGTCGCCGTCGCGGCAGATATCCCTTTTCCTGTATTGTTGGGTGGACTACCCTACACGCGAGAGGATTTGTGAGCATCTCCCCATGAGGGTTGCAATCGGAACCAGTGGTTGTGGTTGTAGTCGTGATTGTAGTCGTTGTCGTCGCCGTGTTTGTAGTCGGAATCGTAATCGTAGTCGTAGTCCTAGTCCTAAGCATCGTCGTCGTCGCGGCGGAGATTGTTTGATCTATCGTTGGGCGGGTTGGGTTATGTTTGGGTGTTCTTTCTCCCAGGGATTACTGCCCCCTGGACTTCCCGCGCGACAGAGGAGTTTTGAGCACGTTTGTGGGAGGATTGTACGATAGATCGACACATTTGTCGCCGAAGGCATTTTTCACAGTCTTTCTGAGGATGGAGGATGGAGTTTCTGAGGGTCCACCCGTGGCCTGAGCTTGAACATTCTTTCTGAGGATGGAGCATCTCAGGATGGATTTTCCGAGAATTGAGTTTCTGAGGTTGGATTTTCCGTGAGAGCGCTCTTGTGGCATAAGTCGTAGTAGTCGTCGTTGTCGTAGTCGCAATCGTAGTCGTAATTGTCGTCGTTGTTGCGCGGCGGGTGCCCATTTTGGTGGGACCCCAGTTCTTCAAGAAGGCCTTCAACTAGGTACCCATCATTTTGGTTGATTCTCTAAAGAGTTGCCAAGGTCAGTCCAGCTGAGTCCAGGGCTTCATGCGGGCTGATCTGGCTCAGTGGCCCCTGTTCATCGTTCTGACGTAGACCTCCCACGAGTTGCTTCCTGACGTGTCGATTTCATCCAAGTTCCCGGTTCCATGCTGACTGATTCTAGGCCTCCGGAATGGCGTTTGGTCGCATGGGGTCGGAAAATCGAGCCGCATCGCCGATGCGGCTCGATGCGGAACCCGATCTTCTCCATGCCGGTGCCGCCGATGAACCGCCGGCCTCGACAATGCAGCGCCGATGCGTCGGCGATGGTGCGCGATCCTTCGACCCCACCCATGCGGACCCCATCACCAAGACCCCCGACATGATTTTTCCCGGCAGTTCTTCTGTGTTGGTGGGTCCTCGTTTTGAAGAGAGACCGCCCCGCGTCTCCTTCCTTCCTTCCCTCCCGCTGCCCCCCTCCTCCCTCCTCCCTTTTCTGCTTTTGCCCTTCGCATCTTTTTGTTTCGGCGCACACCTCACACACTTCGTGTTTCCATAGGGAGTTCCACCGAAGGCCCCAGAGGGAGCGTTCGCATGTGGGCGTCACGCCCGTTTCGGCGCACCCCTCACGCGCTTCGTGGCTCCATACGGAGCTCCACCGAAGGCTGCATTGGGGGCGTTCGCATGTGGGCGTTACGCCCGTTTCGGCACACCCCTCCCGCGCTTCGTGGCCCCGTAGGGAGCTCCGCCGAAGGCCCCATGAGGCCCATAGGGAACTCCACCGAAGGCCACAGAGGGAGCGTCGCATGTGGTCGTCACGCCCGTTTCGGCACACACCTCACGCGCTTCGATGCCCCAAGGGGAGTTCCACCGAAGGCCCCAGAGTGAACGTTCGCATGCGGGCGTCACGCCCGTTTCGGCGCACCACTCACGCGCTTCGTGGCCCCATAGGGAGCTCCACCGAAGGCCCCAGAGGGAGCGTTCGCATGCGGGCGTCACTCACGCCCGTTTCGGCGGCCCCATGGGGCCCGTAGGGAATTCCACCAAAGGCCACAGAGGGACCGTCGCATGTGGGCGTCACGCCCGTTTCGGCACACCCCTCACACGCTTCGTGGCCCCATGGGGAGCTCCACCGAAGGCCCCAGAGGGAGCGTTCGCATGCGGGCGTCACGTCCGTTTCTGCACACCCTCACGCGCTTCGTGGCCCCGCAGGGAGCTCCGCCGAAGGTCCCAATGCCACTGTCCGCATGCGGCCCCCATCCCCCCACCCCACTTCGGCTTCGTGGTCCCATGGAGAAATACACCGAAGACCATACTCACAGCGGCGGTACTCACAACTGCACATGGTTGGGTCCGTCGCCAGGATAATTCATTGCATCACGTCGACCCCTCAAGGTCTTGACCCATTCTCCGGGACCAGTTTCTGATCCCGAGCCGTTTTCTGAGGGCACCTTGACCCGTTAAGAGGGCCCCCTCGAGGCAGAAGACAGCGAAGAGCCCTCCGTCGTGATTTCTCCATGACCCGAGGGGGTCTGGGCTGGACGGCCTCTCGTGCTGACCCATCCTGCACTCGCTCGAGGCCTCCGCGCCCCAGCCGCGCCGTGCGGCGCCCGCGCCGCGGCGCCGCCCCAGCCAGCCGGCGGCTGCGCGACCCCTGGGCTGGCGGCCGCTTCGGGGCTCGGCGCCGCGGCGGCCGCTGCCGCGGGAGCGCGCCAGAGGTGCGCCGCGCGCCGGTGGCCTCCCCAGACATGCTCGCGTCGTGAAACAACCAGGACGGCCAGTTCTTCAGTATTTTCTCTCCCTGGGGGCCCTCGCCGGGCCCCAGGACGGTCAAAGACAACTCGAGACGAAAAGCTGGTCCTGGGGAAAGGCTCGGGGCTGCCAGGGACGCCGTCCTGGCAAAAATCAGGACGTCGCATGTCTGGGTCTCTCTGAGTCGACTGCACGTAGGAGTGACTCTTCGCCGGAGTGACCTGTGGTGCGGGCCCACTTGGGCCCCCCGACCGCCGATGTGTTACGACAGTGGCATCCCCGCGGCCCCCCCCGAAGCCGCGCACCAACGGTCACTCTCGCCCAGGGTCACTCTTGCGTCTAGCCGACTGCGGGGCAACGGGGGCCCCCCTGTCGGATAGAGGCAGGACCCCAGGTACGGGGAGCTGGTCTGTGAGTGAGCCCCGAGTGCACCAATCTAGCCAGAGTAAGGAACCCAAGTCTGTCGCAGCTGGGGTTTCTTCGGGTGACGGCAACTCCGGTCGGCGGAACGGGGAGGGGGCTTCGTCCCTTGGTACACATCACGGAGCCCCAGTCCCGCGAAAACCAGTCCCGCCAACGCCCGACCCGGGCGCTGGCTGCAAACCACATGCTTGGCAATCCACACCCTTCGGAGTCGCTGGAACGAGCCCAGGAGTCACCACCCACCAAACCACCCCAACCCAACCCGAAGGCCTCATTTTGCCCTCCATTTCCAGTGTGGGGGGGGTCCGGGAGCATCGACAAAAACACGTAAGAATTCGGGTCTTCGGGTTGGGTTGGGGTGGTCTGGTAGGTGGTCAAGGAGGACTTCGTGCAGGGCTCCTCCGCGTGTTCGTCCGGGGCTCTCACGGGGCCCTGTTCGGAGGCGGTGTGCCCCTCGGCGCGCCGAGGCGGCTGCCTGGCTGTTCTGCCAGGGGCCGCCACCCGGGTGTGCGCTGAACGCTTCGCCCCCCCCCCCCCCCATAAGTAGTCACTAACTCAAAACAGACGCCCAGTCCCAAAAACGCGGGGGCCAAAACAAAACACAGATACCTCGAGACTTCGGGGAGGGAGATTTTGGGGTAGGGTTTTACCAGGGTGACGACGACGAACGCAAAACATACCCCGAAATCTTTGGTCGATCTTCGAATCCTCGGCGAATTCGCGATTTTGGGATTGGGGATGTGTTTTTTCGTGGTCAAGTAGAGCGCCCGCCCGGCCGGCCGGACACTCGCAGCAAAGGGGGCGACGTTCGGGGGGGACGTCGGTCTCTGGAGGTCTTTCCCCAAGCAGTGCTTGCACTGAAGGGTTCCTCGCGGAAGTTGAAGGATTTGGCGAAAGTGTCCCGCCGATTTTGGTCGCACGCTGGGTTCCCGGGTTCCCGGTTCAAGACAGAGGCCAGGAGCCGGCACAGAGGATCCCGGTGGACACTGGCCCAGGCGGCGGTCCGCTGTCTCTGTGTTTCCCAGCCCCTGCGGGCGATGTGAGCGCAGCCCCCGCACCTCCTCTTTGGCGGCCTGCAGTCGACCAGGCCGCGCAGCGCATGGCAACGGACGGCCAGCAAGCGGGTGCGTTTGAGAGATCGATTGCCCAATCGCCACTGATCACAATGACCACAGCGTCGACCCCTTGAAGCCGTGAGAGGCGCACCATCCTGGAAAGGTACCAAGAGTAGGGGATCTCGGGATTGAATTGGTGCGGCGCAGGATGCTCCATAATGCAAGGAATGCCCCCCTCCTGCTCCCGCTCTCCCCCACCTTCCCCTTTTCGCCCCTGCCTCCCCTCCCCCTCCCCCCTTTCCCCCTTTTCCCACGTCCCCCCCCGTCCCCCCGCCTCCCCTTCCCTCCTCCCCCCTTTCTGCCGCATCCCCCCCCCCCCCCCTTCCTCCTCCCCCCCACCCCCCTTCCCTCTTTCCCCCACCCTTCCCTCCTTGCCCTCCCCTGCCCCTCTTCACCTTCCCACCTTCCCTCCCCCCCCCCCTTCCCCCCCCACCCTTCTCCGCACCAGGACCCGGCGGCGGCCGCGAGCGTCCCGCCGCGCCGCGCTCCCAGAGGCCATGGACGCGCCCAGCGGCGGTCGCGGTGACGCAAGGAGCGGAGGATGCAGGGCAAGGAGCAAGGGGGGCGGGGGGGGGGAGGAGGATGGGAATGGTGGAAGGCAGGAACGAGTGGAGGAGGAGGAGGAGGAGGAGGAGGAGGAGGAGGAGGAGGAGGAGGAGGAGGAGGAGGAGGAGGGAAGGATGGCCACATACCCTGACGACACACCCAGAGATGGTCGCGCGAGATCCCAACCATGGACGATGGAGAGGGAGAGGAGGAGCCCCCACTTGCCCGTCACCATCATCATTTCCTTCGCCTTATCCTCATTCTCGTCCTCCTCATCGTCTTCATCATCGTCACCCCCCTCACTCCTTCGTCCTCATCCTTGCTCTTCATCCTCCTATGCCTCATCATTCTCGCCATCCTCCCTTCCAGCGGTGCGCTGCAGGTAGCCCCTGACATCTACAGGTCTGGCGTCCTCGCTGCTTTATTATTAGCTTTACCCAAGGGTCGGCTCATATAGAGCTTTTGACTCCTAGGACCTTCATGGAACCTCCACGCCTCGATCTACGACTCCTCGATCATTGATTTTCAGACCTGGAACACCGACGACCGACTGCTCCTTCCTCGAATACCGATGGTGAAACCCTGAAGACGGACGAATCTTCGACTCATCGGTGACTGATGCTCCTTCGCCGTCGAGGGCCGACGCCGAACCTCGAAGACGAGATCTCGAACCCCCAGGACGGGCGATCCCATGCATCCAATGTGTTTGGCTTCTCGATGTGGGGCCCCCAGAGGTCTGGACCTTTGTCCCCAGGGCGGGCTCCTTCTACTGAGCCGTTCCTCGGCAGTCATGGGGCCTGGCGAGGGCGCCTGAGGCTGAGAACGAGGAACCGGTTCCACTTGGAGTTTCTCGACACGTTCGAGACTCTTGTTTTTACAGGGTTTGGCGATCGCCCGAGTCATCTGGCGCGCCCGCCCCCCCCCCCTCCCCCCCCTGGATGACCTGACCTTGTCGGTTGCGAAGGTCCGAGGGGTGTGCGCAGTACTGGTGCCCCGGGGGCGTCAGCAAGGCCGCCGCGCGCTCAGGCCATTGATGGAGCAGCGGCCTCCAGTCACCGCCCCCTCGCCCTGCCCGAAAGGCAGGGGGCCTCTTGACGATACCCCGCACACCGCCATGCCGCCATGGACGTGCTCCGGAGCGCGGGCGCCGCGCACCTGCTAAGCACAGGACTCGCTCGCTGACATCAGGAACATGGACGAGCGCATGGCCCAAGCACCTGACCACCAGCCAGACGACGATGCCGATGCTGAAGCATTACGACACGCTGACCCTGAACTACTGGACGCTGAGCTTCAACAACAACATCCTCACGAATACAGAGGGCCAGCACAGGCAGGTTCACACCATGCGGCCCATGAATTACCACCAGTGGAACAATTGCACGCTGAACGTGACTTGCCACTTGGACTACTACCCCCCACACCCACACTGCGAAGGACTACTGGACGCTGAGCATCAATCCCAACATCATCACGAACATACAGGGCCAGCACATGCAGGATTACGACACGCGGACCCTGAACGACTGGGCGCTGAACGTCAATTTCAACATCTTCACGAACACAGAGGGCCAGTACGTGCGGGACTGGACGCTGAGCCACATCTCCATGAACACAGAGGGCCAGCGCATGAAGGATTACGACACGCTGACCCCGAACTACTGGACGCTGGACCACTACCTACACACCCAGCTCGCGAAGGACTACTGGACGCTGAGCGTCAATTCCAACTTTTTCACGGACATAGAGGGCCAGCACATGCAGGAGTACGACACGCTGACCCTGGACGACTGGACGATGAACTTCAATTTCAACGTCTTCACGAACACAGAGGGCCAGTACGTGCAGGACTACACCACGCTGCACCTGAACCGCCACCAGTGGAACAACTGCACGCTGGACTTGAATTGCCACCTGGACGTAAAGGTCGACATGAACGTGACCCTGGTGACGAGCGCCCTGATCATCAATTTCCAGTCCGACGGCCCACCCACTTCTCTTCAAGACCCATCGAACTCACCATCATGCTCCTCGCCCTACAGCACCTGATGCGCGCTGGTGTTCAAAGGGCAGGAATGGGACATGACACTGCAGATTATCAATGCGCGGACCCGCTCGCTGAGCGAGTCTATCACCCCAGTCGACGGAAGCTCGAGATCGATCACGACGTCAGCTCCACAATCATCCAGACTTTCGACGTCGGCAAAAAAAGGAAACATCCCCACTGGCAATGTGATTCAGGACTTTCATGCATGCGTACGTTTATCTCACTGTTTCGACCATTTATGGCGATTGTATCTGCAGATAGGACTCATACAGAATGGAACTCAACACGCACAGAACATCGGTAAGCAGGACACCCTGGCCTCACTGGGCATTCACGGGGCTACGAAGATGGCCGAACGGAACATCAATATCATGCAGTTAGACATTTACGACGAGCATGGCAATCAGGTAGATGCCATCGCGCAGGAGCGCGAAAGCTACGAGCACATTATGGACTCCCTCAGGAAGAGCGGCCCCCCAGAGGACAAGAAATGCCTGCAGGGGATAGGGTCGCCAGCTCCGCCCCGCGCGCTGACGGCCCTAGAAGGACTGTGCAAGTGCGACGTGGGCGGCTCCATGAAGGGTACCATCGAGGACATCGAGGCGGAGGCGGAGATCAGCAAGGAAGATATCCTCGACGCCATTAACTTCGCGCGCCTGGAACAGTGCTACGACCACGACAAGACGAAGCCGGTGATCGGCGCGCTAGGCGCGCCCATGTGGGAGGGCCAAATCCTGATCAGCCGCGCCCTCGAGGCCGAGGGCCAGGCGGTCCACCGCCGAGACGTGGGCCCAGTGGGCTGGCTCGAGGAGGAGGCTAGAGACGCTCGAGCAGTGAACCCGTCTTTTTCTGCCAGAGCGAGCCTGCAGGCCACAATGCAGGCCACAGCGGAGAGGAGGCGTTTCAACGCCGCGTCAATTTCGTTCGAGGCAAAGACCTCCCTGCCAGCAGCGGCGCGGTCACGGCCGGCCACATGCCCCCCCTCCTCCGTCGTGCCTCCACTCCCCCCCTGCCGTGCCAGCACATCCAGAGGAGCAGTGTGAGGGGGGGGGGGCACCTGGGCATGATACAACCGCCGAAGAAGAAGCGGCCGAATATCTCAGCTAGCACGTCGACGCTGCTTGGCACGCGCTGCGCAGGAAGCCCCTCCGAGCAGCGCCCTGGCAGTCTGGCCCAAGCGGGGCAACGCGAGACAGTCGGCTCTCTGCGACGGATCATTTTAAATATGGTTTCATTGTACACCATATCCTGATATCAGATGTTGGTCCTGACGTCGAGGAGCAATCAGGCGTCAGCGACCAAGGGCTACGTCGGTTCCTGCTCGTGATGGTCAAGCAGCTCCTGAGGGTGGCGCAAGGGATGCGAGAACTCGGAGGATGCCTATTCGACACTTTTCTGCGCCCTGCGGACGGGGCGGAAGCGCTGAAGATGGCGGAGCAGACCCACAACTACGCGGAGGCGGTGCAGCGCGACGGGAAAGGTCACCCTCACGGAACATCTTACATATGGGCGTTCGCGGGCTTGCTGGCGGGGCTTCGAGAACGTGGAGAAGCAGTGGGGGCCCAGAACGCGAAGGCGCTGCAGGACATGATGGAGTGGCTCGACGCGCATGGCGTGGAAGAGAAGATGAATATGATGCGGATGTGCCGTCTGGACAAGACGTACGACAAAGAGAAGAAGCGGATCACCTTCGTGCTGCGAGACGAACGTTGGCGCCAGACGGTGATCGCGTGCTGCGTTCAGGCGGGGATGGAGCGCAAGCAGGGGAAGGCTCCAGCGCCGTTCATGGAGAGGGGGCTTCAGGAGCACGTCGCGCAGCTGGTGGGCAGCTGAGAGTCCGACGAGCTCGAGCTGGTGAGCCTGCTGATGCACCTGAGAGCGTACGTGAGCCTGCGGCTGATATACCTGGAATGGTACGGGGGCCTGCTGCTGTACCTGCGCGGGTCCGCGCGCCTGCTGATGTACCTGAGCTGCCACGGGGGCCTGCTGTGGTACTTGAATTGGTGCCTGAGCCTGTCGCGGCAGGCGACCGTGCTGCAGCTTTGCCTGACGGCAGCCCCGCCGTTGTGCTGAGTGTTTCGTCTGAGAATAGTTCTCTCCCCTCTCCTCCTCTGACCTCGGGGCTGCCTGGGGCTTCTCCTGACCTGTGTCGTGCCGCGTCCCGCTGTGGCTCCTCGGTCCTCGCCTCGTCCTCTTCTTCCTCGTATGCGTCGGGAACCCAGGGGATTCCAGAGCTCACCGCGACAGTTGCGGAGGCCCCCAGGGAACCCACGACTTCTGAGGCTCTTTTGATTTTTCTCGGGATTGAGCGGGGCAGCTCCCGCTGGAACGCTTTAATGGGTAGTGAAAGGTTGCGCTCGATGTTGAAACGCACGAGGCACTGATTCGTTTCGCCCAGTCGGCCGCAACTCTCGAGTCGGTCGGCGGGGCCAACCGTGGGCCACGTCGGCCTTAGGTGTGGCCCCCTCGCCCTGCGTTCTTCGCTGGTCGTCTCGGTCGAAGTCACCGCGCGCCGCCTCTTTCGGATGTCTGTGTATATCAGAGTGACGATTCACGGTTCCTCGGCAGAAGTTTCGCAGGGGCACGCCACAAAGACAAAACACACATAGGGGCCCACGGCGCTAAATGAAAAACCATCATCATCATCATCATCATCAGCATCATCATCGTCATCATCATCATCATCATCATCCTCATCCCCATCCTCATCCTCGTCCTCCTCCTCCTCCTCCTCCCCCTCCTCCTCCTCCTGCTCCTTCCGTAGCCATTTTGGTTCAAGCCGTGCCGGCTCAGGGTGGTCTGCGCGACCCGCTCGGCCAGGCCCCCCCCGACCCGCTCCTCGGGTCTTCCTGCTCCCGCCACCTCGGGCCGGGCGCGCCCCGGCCGTCGGCCGCCCGCCCTCTGTCCCTCCCACTCCAGCCATGGCTGAGGCCGCGCTGAT